CACATTTCATTTTATATTTCACAAGAAAACACAAGTCACTGCTAAATATATGGCATTTTCTTCACTATATATGCAGAGCGGACTGTGTTAGAGTTCTGCTGCAAGGGCAAAGGTTTCACAAGTGCCTCAGATGCTCAGAGCCATTAATCTAGGAGGTGGCATTACCTACCTCAACCTACCTCTCAGGACATTGGAGAATCTGATCCTGAAGTGACATCTTAAAGTTTATCACTTCCTTTTCTGTGATCGCAGATGAGCACAACACATTTTGTTGCATAATGCAAAACTTAAAGAGGGGGACCCTCTTCACGCTCTTTTTACCTGCTAGGTAGTATCTAGCAAATGAAAGCAAGTGCTGTATACTGGGCTTCTGCAGGTCTGTGAGGAGCAGGCAAGAACAGAGTAGGTTTCCCTGGCCTGAAAGAAAAGCCAGGCTGCCCCCCTGCTGCGGGAACTGGTACTTGACTACTAGGAAGAGAAGCCTTGTTTTCCTGTGTAACAAGGTCAGAAACACTTGGTGTTTTGCAACCTTGAACAGCCTCTCCGCAACCCCTGAGAACACAAAAAAGGGGCAGCACTCAAAATGAGATCTTCTGACCTGCATACTGGCATCCTAGCACACATCTTGAGAAACTAGGAAGGCAAAATAACCATGAGTAATTAGGTGTCCTACACTAGGTGTCCTGCACACAACAAACCTTGAAAAGACATCAGTAGCTAAACAGGGTTTTGTTCTGTGCACATCATAAATTATGCAGCCTATCTCAAAACAAGACACACAGTATCTCATAGACACCGGTGATTGCTTTAGGTAAGCATAGGCTCACAGGCTTTGAAAACACATGGTGGTTACAGAAAGCCTGAAGAACTTAGGTCACAAGTACAGTAGCAAATTGTGTATCATCATAGATAAGTGCTTATCTATGCTTAAACACATGTATTTCATCCATATACTGTCCAGATGAAAGAATTTATATCTTGTTATATGATCTGTATGGAAGTACACTAGCTCAAATAACTTGTATGAATATTTCACACAGATATCAGCATGTTTTAACTTTCACTCTTCATTAAATATCCAGTAGCTGAAAAAGAGCTCTCCTTATGCGCGTGTGTTACTTACCAACATTTACCAAACGGAGTTTCTCTCCGCCGTAGGAGAATGGCTCACATCCTCTTCATTTTCTCCCTTTTCCTCAGCTTGATTTGTGGTGAAGGAGAGCTGCAGCTTCAAAACCATGAGGATTGTCAAAGTGGAATTCACTGCAAAAGAAGAAAAGAGAATATTACACTCTGTCCAGCAGGTATTCCAAAATAATTCATTAGAGGCTGTTAGTTTCTTTGGGATGCTTTTGATTTACATTCTGCTCAATATACTACTACAGGAATACTGAGATAACCAATTAAGTCTGCAAAAATTTGGACTCATTAAGCCTATTTACCATTTACAACAAGTGCATAGCATTCAAATGTTATTGTAATAAGATTCTGCAATCAAAAGACTTCCTTTCTGTACTGTGAAATTAAATATATATGTATATATAGAGAGAGAAACAGGGAGCATATAATTCGGGACACATTTAACTGATTTTGACGTTATGACACAAGTTCCGCTGTATTTGTGTTCTTAAAAAAATGCTGCAACTCATCTAACTAATCTACACAATAATCTACTTGATATGAGAAAAATTCAAGGATTTTTTTTTGTTCAAAGGCTTTTTCTGCCCTGAAAGCAGCATCACACCAGTGCCGTGTCCCCCTGGCACTTTTCGTTCAGAAGGAGCAGCACCGATATCACAGCGTTGCTTGACATGCCCAGCGGATTTCTTTAATCCTATACCTGGCCAAAAAGCATGTCTTCCATGTGGCTCACAGGCTGCACAGCCTGCAGAAGGTCAAGATACATGCATCTGCCTTGGGAACGGTCAAGTGTTCCAGGTACAGAAGCAGTCCTGGAAAAACAGTTCAGTTCTCATACATTTCTCTGCCTACTATTCTAGGCTTCAATCTTCACTTCCTTTACCTTGCACAGAGTACTCTACACCATCTTTCCCTCTTCAGAATTGGCAATATTCAGTCCTGCATCTCAGGACTTTGGATATCAAAGTTTCACGTGATCTGTTCAGAAATTGCACCTGGTCGCACCACTAATGTACGATGCTTAGCCCACGAAGTTGTCTGTATGAGATGGCAGGTTTAGAGAGAAACGTCTGTGTTTTCTTCCAGCCTCGTGATGCCCACTGTACATGCCCTCCAGGTTATTGGAGCTCCTTTGACAATAGAAGACCTTGCATCAGAAAAGTCTATGACGTTTGTAGGGATCCGGCCTCCAGAAATCAGGAAGGACAATGTTTAACCAAGAAAGGATGGGCTCATTACTGCTCAGAAAAGGTATTGAGATTTTGGCATTACTTAAGACCAAGGATTATGTAGTACTTCCCTAAAAATAAATTCCTTAGCTACTTTTCATTAGGCATAGGTAGCATGAGAACCAAGTGTTATTAGCATTTTCACAGGAGGTTTTGCCTCATATTATTTTGCTCTTCTTCAACCTGAAATCGGAAACTCAGAATTCCTTCCTTGCTTAACAAAGCTCCGGCCATTAATTGTCTCCTCCGTTGTTCTTTTATTCCCCCTTTCCTCACATAGGTTTGTACCATACCTGGAGATTACGAAGGCTATGACAAGGTTCTTGGGCTCTGCATTTGTCAAGCTGACAGTCTGGAAAGTGTGTGCAATTCTCAGTGTAGAAGACAACAAAAAGATATTCTGCAGTTCACTTGTGCAGAAAAAAATGCTCAGCTTCTTATCACTTACAAAAATGGGAGCAAGGTAAAGGATTTCATTTAATTTTACTACAGTCTAGCTGTCTATACTCAAATGCTGCTTTTTAACAATCCTTTAACCAAGAAACCCCCTCATTCTTCTCTTCTGGAAGAGCATAGGAGGAAATAAACAAAAAAGCCTAGACACTTGCATGCACAGTGTGTTTTTTGTAGCTGGCATTACACTGCAGCTGTGGCAATCACAGTAAAAACTTTCTGACCTCTCCTTCTGTTTCTATTAGACTACTGTTTTCTTGAAAGAATTAAGAACAGTTCTGTTACGACTGGCTTTCCCTCCAAATGATGCCTGCAATTCAGAGCAAAGCAAGTCTTCCCAAGCAGTGTACATGGTGAAAACAAGTGGTAAGGAAAAGGTTAAAAACAGCTGCAGTATTAACTGAGTATTAAATGGCTTTTAGAAACAACATACCTGTCCTTGCTATTTATAACATGAACAAGCAGCAGTCTTGATGCATATATCCACATAAGCGTGAGGCGATGCAATCTCGACATTTGGTGCAAAATTCATCCCATTCATTTCCAGAACATTTATCTAGGATGGGGAGATTTCTGATATTCCAGGAAAGGACAGCTATTCAGAAATTCCCTCCCACTCCTCTCCCTGAAAATTGTGATTAACAGAGATAAAGAATACCTTTGCCTATCAAGCGACTACCTTCCCAGATCTGTACAGAAAAGCTATACAGATTTTCTCTGGGGTTTTATATTTTAATGTCATTTTACCATATAGAACTGAACATAGCTAATTTTTTGCTATTCTAAAGTTAACCCACAAGCCAAATGCACTGTTTGCACAACCACATGAAAAATCTAGTAAGAGTAATGGGATGGAAACATTTCACCATGATGTCTCTGCACAGTTTCATTGAGCCGGGACAAGTTAAAGCAGTTACTATCTAAGAACAGCTCTTGCAACACCAAACTAGCCTTAAAGCCTTCAGATAAAGCCCAAGCAATTTAGATCACTGTGCTGGAATAGAAGAAACAGCAAAAGGCACAGTTTTGTTCTGGTTTTGTAAGTTTTTTGAGGGAACTTGGTGAATCAACCCTATATAAAGCAGAAGGAAAGCAAAGTCCACTGTGATAAAAAAAAAAAAAAAAAAAAAAAAAAAGAAAGAAAAAAAGAAAAAAAAAACAAAACAGAAGTAACCAATGCATTTTATGTCATTTCAGGGAAAGGATTTTTAGGAGTGTATAATCCTGACCCACAAATCTTCCACAGTTTCATTATACTAAATGAGGCTTCATTGCTTCACAAAAGCAGGCCTTCTTCAGCACCACCTGCAGGTAAGGTCTCACATAAAACTACACAATTTATACACAATTTTGCAAAGATTTTCTTGTGCTTTTTCACATCACTGATTTCCAGCACTGATCTAATTAGGCAACAGCAATATTGTACAGAACTCACCATCTTTAGGAGCTTCAAGAAGCTGTTCATACTAAATGCACTGAAGGCGCAGGAAAAACTTTTACATTCCTGAGCTAGGACTCAGGAGGTCTGTGCTCAGAGCCAGGTAGCTACACTACCCAGGAGCCCCCAAAGCTGCCTCTGTCTAGTCCCTGCTTTTTGCCAGGGGCAATGCGGAGCGGCTGTGTGAGCAATTGCTGAATACTTCCACCTGCGTGTACAGGTGATAACACCCATGGGTGTAGGGGGAGGACAGAGACCAGGAGCAGCTGCCAGAGCTGAGCTCCCCTGGTTTACATCTATCCTTTGGTTTAATAATGCTAGTGCACAGATTTGCTCCGTTCTCATCTAGGCCATCCTCTTCCTAGCTCTGGGTATTCAAACCACTTCTTTATTAGTTCCACTTGCCCTGCCCTTGGAGGTCAGGCCTTTCATTCTTCACATCAAATCTGATAAAACATAAGGGAACAGCTCTCTTATGAAGCCTGCACATTTTGCAAGTAGTGCTGCTCCTTTACCAGATGCATTTCAGTTAAAAAAAGAGATGAGGATGTAATGCATAATAACCCAATATCAGGGAAATGCCTGTGGCATATTTATGTTCCGCCTCGACCATAGACCTTACTCTGGAAACAAGATTTTAGTCATAAAAATGAACAGGAAATACTGTATCCTGCAGCATTTCTGTAGATAGAAAAATGGCCAGTAATGATCGAAATGTAATGATATCTGTTCTTTTACAGTTAAGCCTGGCCATGAAAACGACAGGTTTTTCTGGCTCGAGGGCCTGAGACCTTCAAATTCCACATCAAAAACAGTATTTACTGGCATCTTAAATCCTATCACATGCATTGATGCTAATGTTACCATCATGTTCATTGTCTCCAAGGAGCATTACCCAATTTATGATGTGTAAGTACAAAAGGCAAAGGTAGAACACAGCTATTGCACGTTTTCTAAAGTTACAGAGAACAGGGCTCTCATTTAAGTGGTACAGATTACAGAGGAACCCCAAGTGCACCTATGGCTAGAGCTCTACTGTAATTATGAAGCAATACAAGAAAAAAAAAAAAAACGGTGATGGCAAGAACTGACTTCCCTACTTTCCTTCCTAGAAACAATCTGTACAATACAAATGCTGACTTTGACTGGGGGGACTTCCGGAGCCTTGCAGAGGAAGTCAGAGAGGCCTCTTCAAGCTTCCTTCTCTTCCTTTTCCAGTTCCGTCACCCTGGTACCTATGTTTTACAACTGAGTAGCAATCAGCACAAAAAAATGGTTTGTATCCAGGAATCCCGTGCTTACATTTACGTCCCTATCAGTGGAGTATTTCCTGTTCCACAAAATGGTTTGAAATAGAACGAAATGTTAAGAGTTGCAGTGAGCATCTTTTCATAGCGTATTGGTGAATACAGCAGTAAGCATGTGAGTCTGTGTGTGTGTGTGTGTGTGTGTGCGCGACACATATGAGCCCAAAAGATACAACTGCAACAAGGTTCTGATTCAACATTACAAACAAAGTAACACTTAACATTTAAAATAGCAGACCAAATCTTGTGTAACTTAGCATTTCTATTTATGCTTATTTCATTCAGTATGTTAAGGTCATGCCACTGGGCGGACAGTGTTATGAAGAGGGTCCATTCTTCCCCACAACTCCCAGATATGCTGTACAGGTGGGCATTACAAAAAACCAAGACCCCCTGCTGAAGCCTGACTGGACAGCTATTATTGGATTATTCATGGGACTTCTCATATTTCTTATTGCCTTCCTGCTATTGACTGTAAGTAATAGTTATACAGCATCTCATTTCTCAGGACAAGATTTTGCACCATGAGGAAAGACCAAATCTGTTCCCTTAGGTAGCACCTCAGAGTTGAAAATTAGAATAAACTGTAATTCAACCTCCTGTTTTATAGATAGGGTAAAATTCATCCCTAGGAATTGATCCAACTCCTCTGAAGCTCCAATATGACTACGTGACACAGAGGCCAGTTAGAGGCACTCTACGGATGCATTCATTGCATTCATATTTTCTGGTTCACTATATCAGACCACAATATTCTCCACAATTCACATCTCTGCAGGAAGAATCAATGAGTGAACAATTATGCATTTCTTTATGATCTACATGCACCTGCCTCAAATTAGAGGAGAGATGAATCCTAGAAAAATATTATAAAGAACTATTAGTAGTGAATACCCTTCTCCAGCAGTCATTCACATGATAGTCAGTTTGGCACACCGTAGTCAGAAAAAAGTCACACTGACTGCAACATATCTGGAATCAGGTTTGCTATTTTACAGTAAACAAGTGGCAGGGTCCTTCAGACTGTAAATCCCCCCAACAGCCATACCTTAATATTTCACATGTGTCCTGAAATCAGCAGGCTTTTTGTGGAATCAGAATTCTGAAATAATGAGAGCAAATGAGATTTATTCATTCAGCAGATCCAAACAACAGATATCTATTTCCTTCCTGATGGTTTTGGCCTGATCTGTTAAGATTAATAACTCTTCTCTCTTAGAACAGATCACTTGAATTATATTGTTAGAAAATATAGGACAGGTCCTCATACTGCTTAATGAGTGAATAACATGCGAAATGTAATAAATATGTCAAAATAAGAAGAGAAACTTACTTAGTTTTGTTGTGTTTTGCAGCTTCTTTGTCAGCAACTTAGCTGGTCTCAGAAAGGCATTACCTACCCCATATACCGAAGGCAGCAAATGAAATATAACCTTGACAGATATTCCTCCAATTTATCAACAGTCTTTTCCATTAAAAAACGTCATCCTTGTCTGCAGAACAACGGTAGTCTGGATGCTGACTCTCGCGACACTGGTGAAACAAAAGGTCAGATAACAGAAAGGCTAAACAACAGTTGGTCTACCTGTTTCCAGAGTGCTTGCATATAATGGAGGCAGAATCCTATCTCTTATCATGGGCAACGGCCACTAGATTAGAAGTGATTTCCAAAATCATTCTTTGCTCAAAAACACTCTTAAGTGGAGAAATACTAATAAACAAATATCCCTATTTCAGCCTTCTTCTTAAAAAGAGGTAATATTTGGGAACCTGAAGAACAGATAGACCTCGAGTCATTCAACACCAATGTTTTCTTCGAGCTTCTGTTGAGACAGTCTCTGTCAGTCACAACCCATTTGGGTCATTTCAAAGAAGAGGTAAATCGTGTTCAAAGCCTATTCATATATATGCAGAAAGAGCCTAAAACATTTGGCATTGCTTGTTCTCCACTGTTTCAGTAGCCTTCAGCTATTAAGTAGGTAATTTATTTCATTTTTCGTATTCATTTCATTTTTCAATTAATTTCTCTTTTTCCTCTGTAAAATGAGATTAACATGCATTTCCTGGTCAAAAGCTTGAGAACTGTGGATTAAATCCAGGAGTATGAAAGATAAATGAATACCCACCTCATAAATATGGAGTTTCATTATGCTATTTTAATTTTATAATAATGTCACAACTGAAAGCAATGAGATAACTTTTCACAGTCCTAAAATAAATAAGATAAATCTATATACAAAATTATTCTAACTTCATTTGTAGTTTAGACAGTAGAGGGAGCTGGTTCTACAGCATGCAGTGTAATAGAGGACTAGTGCAAGTGAAATCATGGTACCCTACTCATAAGAAAGCTAGCATTCATGTGTTTTATATTGAAAACTTAGACACTAGTTTTTTTTTTTATAATTACATAGGGAGACATGTAGTTTGTACAGATAATTCATTGTGTTCAATTCTACTTTTACAGTCATAATTTTGTCACCTTTAACATTCACATTTTTGGAACCTCAGGTGAAAACTATGTATCACAAGCTTACGAGTGAAATATCTCTACTGAAAGAACTTTGGATGACAACACTGAGTATCCCAGAAGGATCTGAGTTTTATGAGAGCACAATGATTGAGAGTTACTCAAAAACCAAGCAGCAGGTAAAGCTCTGTTTGGCATCATTAGAATAAGATAGAATAAAATAGAAATAACCTAGAATAACAAATGAAATCCTCTGTACTCTCTTTTCATAATTTTTCTGCACGGTCATATAAAATTTGTCTTTTGCAGTTGTAGACATTCCTTATTTTCATAGGCTGAAAATCAAGTAACATTCTGTAATATTTGAAATACAATATTCTGAAATACACCCAGCTCATACTCTCACTTGAAAAAATGCATGATACACAGTAAACCGCTGTATCTGCAAAAGCTATGTTTTTCACAAGGATACATTCAAAGTTCTACATCACTTGATTAAAAGAATACTTCATTAGGTTATTCAGACCTGGGTGCATGCTGGTCACTTACATGCTAGATAACTGCAATTATTGCTGTTGTTAGCATGTGAATGTTCAAGTTCAAATGAATGGAGCAGAATGTTTTATATTTCTAGTATTTATCTTTTTAATAGAAGGCAGAAAAAAAAAGCTGCAATCTGTGTTTACATTTGGGTAAAACAAAGAAAAAGGTGTTTGCTTTTTATATCTCGCCTAGGCAGAAGAAGAGATGCAGCACAGGAAACAGCTGGCTGCTGAATATGAGGAAAGCATGAACAAACAAATGCACTTACTACACCATGATCTGAAGTGCCAGGAAGAGCATTATGTCCTGTTCAATTCTGTCCTGCGAGAAGCAGTGAGATTGATAGAGATGCTGACGAATAAGGTGGCTGGTAGAAAACAACAAACGATATGGTCTCCACTGGAATATCAAAGGTAATACTTATTATTGCAAAATTCTGCTGCAACTTTCTTTTTCCTAGCTAGAAAGCATTTCTGGTGAGTGATTGTGTTGCATATTGATTGGCAACACATGTAGCTGGAAGCTAATTGATGTGACAAGCAGATCATAATTTTTATGTTCTTGTAAAACAAGCATAGAAAATATCAAACAGAGCCGTAAACTCTCAGGAAGCTCCCATCACAATCCAATGGACAAAAAATGTTTTGAAGGTCCTTTTTTATGCCAAATAATTTGTCTCTGGGATATCACGTTAGTTGTAGCTACTGTATCAGCCATGCACTTACCACTGTCAGCGAGAGAGAAAGAAACAGTAAAGTGTCCTTATCACTGCATTAGCCAAGGCAAATACATTTTGATCTCTCTAAGTGCAAAGGGCAGATTTGCATGTCTATCAAAGTTCTTCCTCTGTGACTCCCTTGAAAATATTTTACCTTACCTTCAAATGGCTAGTGACCATATTTATGCCGTAAATTCCAGCTTGTTAGCCCGGATAGATACTGCAAGCAGCATGATGACAAGCACAGTAATAAAGGAAAGTCACCGCCTCAAAGCATGGGGAGTGCTGGGTGAAGGAATGGGAGCTTACCTTCTTAACAAAACTAAAACCAGGATTCTTATCAAGCAGGAGCTAGCGGGTAACTATAACCTCTATACATTCTTTTCGAAATGATGTGTACAGAAATGTAGGCAGTTGCCTGTAAATGGTTCACAAAAGTATCAGCAATGGAATGAAAAGCGACTATACTTTGAAAAACCATATCCTCATTTAGTTTCCACTAACAACTTACGAATTAAGGGGTTGCTTAAAAAGTAATTGACAGAACTTTTCCATATCTTACTTCTTAGGAAGAATGCCAGATTTGCTTTCATCAAGATCTTTGACTGATAGCCCGGTAACTGCTAGCAGGGTACTTGCTAATCATCCCCTAGCAACAGAGGGGAAATTGAACTACTCTGTAGCTAAATGTCAATAAGTTCAGTTAATTTGTTCCTGTGCATATGTTTGCTTTCTAACATTGTTACACATTTTCATACAATAAAATGCAGCTGGTACCTTGACACTGAGAAAACTCTCATTTTTACCCTCCTAAAAGGTACAAAAATTAAAAAATAAAAATAATTTAAAAAAAGACCTTGGATGTTTGAATGAACACTGAAGACTCTGGCAATAAGATCTCAAATTCTCAAAGCTTATTCCTGAAATATCGATCTTTTTACTCTTACAAGAGTCATCCAGACACTGTAGAGAGAATTGAACACCAATGTGCCAGGAATATTGTAGCTTTTCCCCTGCAGAGAAGCAGAGAACATCTGCAAAAGACAACAGAAAGGCTAGAAAAACCCTTCGCAATCCCATGGGTAGGTGGAGACTCAGAGTTTCTTTTTCTCCCCCTCTCTTGTGCACTGCTTTGAGACTCAAATGGCACTGCCAAAGCACCTGATGTTACCTATATGGATCCTACCACTGGATTGCTAATGCCCAACCCACAACAGTCGATGCTGCTGAATAGCCACTGCCCTGGGCCTGTACCTATCAACCATTTTCTGCATCCTCAAACTGGAAAAGTGCTTCCTGTAGCTGGTAACATTGGTTATGATCCCATCAGATCTAGGCTGGTTTGTGCTGTTGATTTTGCTTCAGGTAAGAGCCACACTGCAATAACTGATTAATGCAATTACTCATATGCAGGGTATAGTTATAGGGGGCGGTACTGGTAAACAAATAAAGAAGACAAAAAAAAATACAACTCGGCGTACTTGTAGGGATTTTTCACATAACAAAAGAGCAAAACTAAGGGATATCTGTGCCTAGCATTGTACTAGAAGAAATTTCTTTCAGCCTTGCTGTTAATAAGATGTACTACAATGCGCAAGGTTTATATGCCAGGAACTATTTAAATATTCCTTGCTTCCAACAGGTTTCAACCCCTCTGTTCACTGACCTATAGAAACTAGTAAATAATCGGAAACTCTGCTTTAAGGAGTGGCCAAAGCAAAATTTAAATTTGAAGAAAAAGAAAAAAAAATAGCTGAGAGAGTACTTTCTTTCACTCATGTAATTCCAAACCTGAATACATATCTTTACAATCAGCCTTCCCTGAAAGCTTCATATTCTCCATGCTGAACTCTAATGCTTACTTGCTGCTAGCATTAGTTCTCACTGTCTTGTTAAATTTCTTGTTTTAACACACAGGTGAGCTTCGCAAGTCTGAAGTGCCCATATTTCCCTATATTCCTTACCCAATTTGTCCCAACACCGGTTTACCTGTGAAGACAAAACTTCCAGCACTACGTCCTGAAAAAATGTTTCACCTGGGAGGACTCATGCTAGACCCAGTGACAGAAATAGAAGTGCCAGTGCTTGCTGTCACAATCCATCCTCACACTGGGCAAAAGCTGTCCGTTGGTGGGACATACCTGAACCCGCTAACCGGCACAGTGACGCCTCTGGAGATTGGCGGACCCATGACTGAGCCAGAGGGAGGCAAGATTGTTCCAATACTTGGGGTCAGTTTGGATAACAACACCGGTAAGTGAATATATTCTTCATGCTTCAGTAAAGAGGGTATGCACCCTTCACCTTACCTGCCTCTGGGGAATGGAATTTGCCTTTCCTGTAGAACAGGCTATGCATCTTATAGTTTCAACAGACAGATATGCTTCCCCTTTAAGAAACTGAATCTAGTATTTATTCCATTAAAGTCAACACAATTATCCAGAGAAACATTTGAGCTGCCATATTCATTAACTATGACGGAGATTATGGACAGTGATCAGACTCTTAGAGATAGTCCAATTGCTCTGATAAATAATAAAAGTAGCACGAAATACATTATTTAGGGGCTTAGGTGATTAGCAATTCTAGATTTATAGAATGCATTTTCACATATATATGTTCTTTATACTGCACATTATAAGATATACTGCAGTCAAAAAAAGTTGGGGGGACCTTAATCTTTTTTAAAGTAAAAATTGGGAAGCTTACTTAAAACATTTTTGACAGACAAATTATTTTATAATCAGTTTTTTAACAGTTTTGAAAAGGTTTGTTTAATGTGTTTAAATAAGTCTATTTGTTTCCCCTGAAGTGATCATTGCACCTTGTTCTGAATGGATAAGGACTGGACCAAAGATAAGGAATGAATAAGGACTTGACAAGTGATGTTATGCTTTTTTTTTTTTTTTTCTCTCCCCTCCTGTTCCTTGAATACAGGAGAAGTTATACCTGTAGGTGGACTTGTCAGTCCTTGTGGAAACCCAATGCTTCTTGGAGATACCTTCACTGAACCTCTGAGTGGGAAAACAGCTCGGGTATACGGAGCTCATCTTGAGCAAGACAAAGTGCTGCCCCACGCTGGAAGTTACCGAGCAATGTTGGAAGCTGACTGGCTTATATCTCAGACCCATGTAGTGAATGCTGTGAAGCAGTATAAAGAGACAGTTCTGGAAGATGCCTGTTTAGCAGCAGACAAATTGGCAGCACTTAAGGCTTCAATAGAAAATATGAAAAAGTCCTTTACCATTGTATTTTATCATGCAATGCATTGCCTGCAAAGCCTAGAGAGAAAACAGAAAATAGCTTCAAGTCTCAAGAACAATGGTGGTAAATTGGGTAGGTAATAAAACAATCAGTGTTTTAAGGAGTGAAGTTACTGTAAGGGATACTGAAATACATCCATTTGCATCACAGAGTTTGGTCAAACATCAGCACTTCATACTCTTGAAGGTTTTTTTTGTCAAAATAGCCAGACTTAAGAAAAATCTTACCATGAAGCAAGTCAGACAAGTGATATTTGGAAGTGGTAAAAGAAATAATGAGTGTTTCAGTTCATGAAACTTCTCAATTTAATGTTTCACATTTCTCATTGTTTGAACAAACTAGGGATGATCAAATACCCTGGAACAGAGATGTGGATCCCTGCAGTGTTTGGAATGAAAATCCCAGATCCTAGCGGGTCCAGGTTCATGGTGCCAATTCTGGGAATAGACTGTGACTGCAACCCCAGGCAGCCTTCCGTGCTCGCAGGAACTATGGAAGATGCAGACGGAAAAGGTACAGCAAGAAAGAGACAGGGGCTGCTGCACCATCACCAATATTTGTATTACTTTCAGAGTCAGGAAAACAGACTACCAAAACAGATCGTGTACTACTTCAAAAATGAGCAGGAAGTCCCACTATGCATGGTGTGTGCATTCAGAACAAGCAACATCAAATTGCTGCTGAGAATTAGATTGAGACCAAGTCACATGGTGTCTCAAAGCCATTCAAAAATCTAATGTACTCTTCAGAAACTTACTCTGAAGTTCTCAGTGATCTAACAAGCCTGCAAGCAGAGGCTGTTTGAAAGGAAGGTCTGCAACTCCTTATTCCTAAATTCTGCTCTTAGTACATAGCATATACAGATCAGGGAAATCTGGTTTCCCTAGAAAATTTCAAAACATGAATATTAAAATTTAATAAAAGCTGCTCAATAGAGTTGCAGCTGTAATAGTTTAATTCATGATGAAAATGTTAAGGATTGAACTTAATTTTCCTCTATCCACAGGCCTTGTCCCTATTGCTATTGGGGCCAGAACCATAAGTCCTATTACAGGTGAAATTGGGCCTGTTATAGGTGCTCAAACCAATCCCTGGACACACAATGTAATTCCTACAGTTCAGTCCTTAGGAGCCTTACCAAGAGGAGTGACAGATCCAGATCTGGTAACTATAGCTCCAGTAAATCAGCATTACTTACAGATTTGATAACTTTATACACCTAAGAAAATTAAGAAATTTGAACAAGGGTTGATTTTCAACTACTGAGAAGTGATTTCACCCATTCAAGGCCCCACAAATGGTGTTTTCTAACAGCAGGAGGTGAACATTGTACTGACCTCTCCTTTTAAATATCCGTTTTCTCTTGCTTTTATCTCTCCCTTGTTTGTTCTTCTCTTCTTTGTACATTTTATTTCACATACTTCGAGCACCCCAAAATACATATGACATTATAACTTTGGAGACTGAATGTCTAATGGTAAATTGTGGACAAGCACAGGCTTAAAATTGCAAAGCATTGACCTCCCTGTGGCAGCAAAGTTGCATATATATTCTAGAAAGCACTAAAGAAGGATTTCATCATGAGTTTCCATGATGAAGTTCATAATCTTTCTTCACAGCCCTATAAAACTGAGCTGTTATATCTGTCATTGCATTTCAGCTGGACCTTCTGGAAAAGGAAATAAATTTGAGGCAAGCATACTGGCATTGCAGAAAAAAGAAGGAAGAAGAACTTCTTAAAGAGCTCAACTCTCTGTTTCTTTATGTTCTTGATGCTGCAAAAAAAGGAAAAACACAAAAGGTACAGTGTATGCTTTTTGCAATTAGCTTCAAGGTCTTCATAAGTGCTTAAGGCACAATTCATAGTAGTATCAGAAACAGGGACTGCAATCAGTTTATACGCACACATTAAAAAATGAAAGGCTAGGAAAAAGCAATTGCTAAACTAGACAATCTCTTGCTCTTCCCTATTGGAAAGAAACATTGCAACAAATGACTGACAAGTTATCTAAAACTCTCTCTTCTCATCCACTTTTTTTACAGATGAAGCACAAGGAAAAAGTGAAAGACACTGAGAAAATATGTCATCTTCTTGAACGGTCCTCTCTGCAGGAAGCTGAGAGAAGAACCTCAAAATATTTCAGCAGCCAACTGGGAACTGAATTATCCTTCCTATGCAAAGGTATAACAGCTTACTCAAACAGAAAAGAGGCTGTATGTCATTTTCATTTCAGTCACTTCCTTTGTCACGTCTTCACCAGCCTTACTGAAAACCCATGTCCTTCTGGAGCAAGACAATATAGAAGTAGGATCTGGGTGATCACTTGGGCTGTTCTAAAAGCTGAAAATTGAGCTCATTTCGAAGACATGTTGCTTTTTGCAAAAGATTGCGGAATCAAGTGAACAAAAAAAATTCAATTTAATCCAGAACCTTGCATCCATATAAGACATTCTGTAGCTCCTCACACAAATATTACTTCAGAACTGCTCTGAGTTTCCAATCGATTATCATTTGGGAGCTACCGCTAACATGTGCTCTTTATAGTTGACAGAGATGAAAAAGAACAAGAAATACAGGTTCTGATGGAGATCAGAAAGGCACTGGAAAAGCTGATGCAGTTCACGAAAAAAATGCAGCTGCAAGAAGACCGAATAGAAATGCAGCTGACAGAGAAAGAACAGGAAGGGAATCACTTCTTGAACGCTGAGACAGTAACAAATCTGAAGTTCAGAAAGGTGAGGTCGCTGCTGGCTTGGACTCACTGGCTTCAATCTACAGAAGGTTTACCTTAAAGAAAGATGTTAGATGACCTGACAAAAATGCTGTTTTATTTTCCTCAGTGGAACAGGAGCTGAGCAGTCACTGTCAGAATATAAATGAAACCTACAACATCAAATCATAGCTGTTAAAGCTGAAATAGATCTAGGAGATCATGAAGCACAGCTATCCTGGAATGCAGTACATGTGTGATCTAGACAAAATATTTGTGCACTGAATTTCTCTGCCTGTACTCTTCATTCATCAGAGAATGCTAAGAAAAGCCTAAACCCTATTAAGTCTTTCATATGGATAAGGATTCTTGTATGGATAATTTGAAAACACTGCCAGGGCTTCTCCAAATGTTTCCTAGTACTACAGAGACCACATTTATCTGTGCCATGACCCAGTGCAATCCCAGCTGAACTAAACGCTAAAGTTTTCTCTTGACTGAACAGGTACCAGGCAGGCTCTGCTGACATTCAGTTTTAGCTTGTCTATTCACAACTTATTTGATCCTAATATCTTTTAGACACATGCAGACTAATCGCATCATGTGGTCAAGCTGTCCTATTTATTTCCTCCACTATTCCTTTTCCATTAGTCCTTTAGGTAACTTACCCATTTTTCATTCATTCTTTAATTTGTTGTGCCCTAGCACAGTATAACAGTTACATCAGCTTTATAGCTGTTATCATACTAGATTCTGTGTAAAGAAGAACATACATGTCAGGATTTCCAATTCACTTGAAATATGTTCATATTTCATAACATTTATTTCAGGTCATACTTGCCTTAGCCTCTGAGTTTCAGGAATGCATACTGAAACAACAAGCCAAGGTGGAGACTGCATACGCCAAACTGGAATACGTGAGGGACTGGTCAACAATCCAGACCCAGCAGGCAAAGGTATTTATTTCACCTTGAGGCATTGCACAAGATGGTAAGAAATAGCAGCACAGAGTTTTCCTGAGAAGGCAAACAATGCCAGGATACTTTCTCAGCTGTATTTATGATAAACATTAAATGCAAGTTGCAGGTATTGCATTTGTCTGTTCCGTTTCAGGTGCTTTTCTCCGGGTCACGACAGTGTTTTGAGAACTATCAGACGGCCATGTTTTATGGCATTATTGGGTTGCCACATGGTTCAGGCAAGATCATCCATCAAAAACTGATCCCACTACTCAAGTCTGTGGTTTATATGCTGGAGGAAAATAGCAGGAGTATAATATCACCTGAGACACCAGGTAAGAAAGAAGATAAAGGTGCTGTTAGTTATCTTCTTGTATTCTGGCCTTGGCTGGGACCTTTCTACTTCCAAGTACCAGAAAGAAAGATGCAGCCATCAAACAGCAGAAAATGAAGCCTCACTCAGTTTTCTAAGTATTAAAAATCTCCTTTGACTTAAGCTCTGAACCCCTTATCATTTGCATAGACTTGCTGCATGATGGGATAATTCCTAAAACAATTTGTAATTCTATATTCTCTTTTATTCTAAGCCTCACAAAATAATTAATGCCTTTTTTTTTTTTTTTTGGCAAACTATACTATTCATCATCATCTCCCTACTCAGGGTGTTCCTATATGTATAAATGCAATTTCATTAGACCATTCAATTATAGGCTCAAAGGCAGTTAAATCTCAAAGGAAAGACCATAAGGAAAGGACGGCACAAAATTTCATTTCCTGCATTTTCCATGCATTGGATATTCTGAGCAGCCATAATTTTTGATGGACCACTATCTGCAAGGTTCCAGTCTGCATCAACACCATTTCAAAGGTCTTCACACACAATGTCTTAATTAGTACCAAATCTAGTCATGTTATAACTTATTTGGCAGACTGGTATCTTTACAGAAATACACAGTCAGTAAATAAGAATTCAGCAGGGATACTGCCTGAGGAAATAACCACCGAGCATTTAGCCTTGTAATTGCTATCAAATATTTCAGTGAATTAGGGGTGCAATAACAATAGCCTTACAATGTTGTTACTACTTTTCCATCTTCTTTTAATCACTTCTAGATCCCTTGAGAAAAGATTTGATAATTTAAGGTAAACTTGGGAAGCATTCCAAGAAGCCTGTGAATTTGTCAGCACTTTAGAAATAATTAGTGATTATTTAAATAAAAAGACTCTATTAAAATAACTAATACACAGAATTAAAAGGTCATTTTTCTTTCTTAGCCAATATTGATTTGCATTTCAGGAAAAGCTTGTGCATTTTGACTATTTCCAGCAAAACTGAGGGCGGATATAATCACCATAATATTTCCAGTATGAGAATGTGATATAGGAAATCATCAGTTGTACTTTGACTCCAGTATTCTAGCACTGGAGATTACTAACATAAATGAAGACAACCAGAATTACAAGATGAAGCTTCAACCCTCTTACCCTTAAAATAATTTCCATTAGTATCCCTGTATCAGCTGCAGCTACCGCTTGATATATCTGTCTGCAACAGAACACTAATTGACTAGTATACTCTTGTATAGGATTGTTTTCCATCTATTCATTTGTACTTCGAGACAGATTCACAACATTGGAAATGACTCTCTGGATATGCAGTAAAAAGATCCTATTGAGTTAAAGTTTATATGACATTGAAGTTGATTCGCAGTTGAAGAGAGACAAGTTATTTCTTTTCTAAACAAAACTTCCTTTCTCAGTGAGCAATATAAACATTTTCAGAGTTCTCATATCCATTTGATGAAAACCTCATAGGAAAAAATTTACAAGCAGATACACAGGGGTTTGTTTATGTTTGTTTTTGTTAGAAATATGCATTTATTTTATAAAATACTCTTTTGGAGATGTATAACTAAAATAGACTGATGACTGACCTTTAAGAGGGCCATTTGGTTTCTTTCTGGCCTAGAAGGCTACTGCTAATTTAATACTGAAAACTACTGAATTCCCTAGGAATTGTGCACAACAGTTTGAGTAATGGTTCCTAAGTAAATGTAAAGAATCTATCTGGATTCCTCTACAGGCTACTCATCAAGAAGCACTTTAAGAGCATCTGCTTCTCATTCAGTGGCATTAAGAACTGAAACCAGTCAGGAAAATGCTTCAGCTTCCACGGGATCATCTCTTCTGCCCACTTTACATTCAGCGAGGATCAGACATTTAAAACAAGAAATCCAGACAAGGTGAGAAATAGTTGTTTAATTCTCCCAGCATTTTTCTCAGGAAAAGTATTCCTTGCAGATTCTTTAAAGGGGTTATACTGGGATTCTGTGGGTGGCTCATACCTGTTTCAGCAAGCTGTCTACCATGCAATCTTTATCCATGTGGCAAATGCCTCATAGTAATAACTGTATACAACATGGTGATTTTACTTCATTCCTGCCTCATGTATATCTGGTGATAGGTTTGTCTTAGAGAAGCACGCTTGTGAACTGGCACTTCTGGAGCTAACCCTCCTGATGGAAGAAATAAATGCAATCTGTTACTTTTGTGAATCTTCCAAAGCTAAGGAAAAGGAAGACCAGAGGGGAAATTGGGTAAGGCTAGCACTGTGTTGGAGTGTCCAGAGTAAAATAAAGCTTTCTGTTTCTTTTCAGGTTGTGTTCAGTTTTAACCATATCACATCAGAAGTGAAAGCTGACTCAAAAGGAAGTTTCTTGAATAAAGCAATCTTCTGTTTTGACCATTGCAAAAGCAATACAGAAAAATGAAATTTCCTTCTCAATGTTTAGGAACAAAAATCAGTGGCCTGTTTCTCAGTAGCTCTTGTGTACTTCATTTGCTAGCAAATCAGTCTACTTTCTGTTACTTAAACAAGTTTGGACATCTAATTTATGGCTATGATTTATGGTATAACTATGTTTTTAGGAGATAAAGAGGAGTAAAGAAACAGAAGCTACCAGCAAGGACGACACATTTCTAAAAGAACTGTCAGAACATCACCCCCACACTGAACAAACTCTCTGCCAGAAACATTTGGAAGAAATCAAATGCTCAGGCCTCAACCAGGATTTAGCAGCACCCAAACAGAGCCTACATTTTCTGGAAGAAATTCTGCACAACTTGTCAGTTTGTCATCCTGTTTTACAGATCCCAGATTCTAATATCACTGAACAAGAAGTGAGCTTAAAGCATTTTATTTATGCTTCTCCTGACACTATTATCTCATTGCTTTGCAAGAATGAATGTGATCTTGATTGAATGGTACAAATGAGCTCTAGGCATTATGGAGGTGGCTGTATTTTCAGAGAAGCTAAAGTCAGAACCATTCCATACTCTAGATCTCCCTGTACTGGACTAGGTATTTTATTGCATCAGTACGGGTTGAGAAACATTTTTTTTTTCAAAGAACAAGAACTTCAAGTTAAAACTGGCCTCACTAGTAAAAGTCTGCATCCAGGAGAAGGTGATATTAAAAATAAATCACTTTTTTATACAGAAAATGTCCTAATTTGCATCGCTACTGTTATTCTAGAAAAAATTCTATTCTCCAAGTACCACCCCTTCCAGAACAAAACCCGGGTCTTATTTTCTTTTTTGGCCCTTCTCCTGTAGTCTGTGGATCAAGATAACATCACAGCCAATGAACTGCAGAAATTCAGAGAGCAGAAAATAAGAAAACTGAAGGATCAGCTTAAAGTCTTCCTGGGAAATAAAAGAGCAGAGAAGAGTACCTCAAGTAATTTTGACCCACTGCAGGTCAGAAAACAGTAGATCACAGTAGCTATATAGGCTGCATCATATACATGATATATAGCATTAATGAAATAATGCTAATGAGACAATAACTGCAGCTATGTTAGGTTGTTAGGTCATTTATGATTTGTACCATGAGATTCGTAATAAATATACTAAGACAATGGTTTGAAGATAAAGATTAGTAACGTCTTATTTTACATAGGGAAGGCATGTGAAGATTCTCTCTCCCTAAAGAAAGCATGTACTTCCTGGGAAATCCACTCTAGGAGGTAAAGCCCTGCTGGAGGTCTATATATTTCATTCTTAATACTTTTTCTGCAAATAGAGCAATGCAAGGGAGCAGAAATTTCTAAAGTACAAAACCTAGACTTATATCAGAGTGGTAGTAAAAGGTCACATAAAACTAAATTGCATTAGCAAAAGCAAAATACCCATTGTATTCTTTTATAAACAGTTACTTTTATATCTCCTCATTTTAAATTTGCAGAACCTAGCGAAACGATACAGTGAAGCACAATCCTTCTTAGGGAAGGATTTTCATCCAGATTTGGAAGAGCTGAGAATAAGACTAGAAGAAGGAAAAGAAGACGACACACAGCAGAAGAACAGTTCCCTGTCATCCATCACTGAGTCTTCCTGGATTCCGGGGATACACCAAGAGGCAGATGACCAGCTGCTATTATTCCTGACTAAGAGTAGGTCTGATTTGTCAGAGGAAATTCAACTGATTCATCATTCTCCACTAATGCTGACATTTCCCGAGCAGGGGGCATTCATGCTTTCGAAATGGAACAAACAGGGAAAAAGCAGGGTGGAAATCAGACTAAATTAAAAATATAGAATGAGGAAGGTTTTAGTGATTCTTGGGGTGAAGTAGGGGGCAAAAAGCCAGTCCCATTTTCCTAACTAAGCATCAGTAGAAGAATACCTTAAACAGTCCTAATAATTAAGCAAGCAATACTGAGGAGTTTAGGCTAAAAGGGCATCTTCAGATTCGGTGATGACAAATTTTTGATACTCTCAAGTCACAGACATCACGTAAAAAGGAATACTTACATGGACGCTCGCTTTCTCTAGGTCACAAATAAAATTAAACGTCTTACCCAGATGATCTGCATGATGCAGCCACAGAGCTACAGTTATTCCCATCTTTAGGGTCAAGAAGCTTCTAACCTTTCTGCTTGAAAAACCAGCAGCTACTTGATAGGCCCCAGAGTATCCTCCTCTTTGGATTGAAAACCAAGATTTTATTGGGAGTAGGTGAATTACCACATGTGATCAATTCCCTAAAGTTTCTGAGTCTTTTCCGACCCCTTCTGTATGAAACAAGCAGCTGTTGATTTTCTCAGCAGCTTGAATAAGTGGATTATAGCACATTCCTTAAATTCATCTGAACACACAAAACAAAATTAACATCTGATTTGAAACACTGCTATCTGAAACAAAGGACAAACTATTTCTCCGTGCATCCAAAACTGAAGTTATAAAATGCTGAGTGCATCAGGTAGTCCAGCTGGCCTCATTCCTCTAATATCCTTGTGAGTAATTCACAGAGTTTCCTTAACAGCAAATGGGCTGTATGATCCACCAAATACCTAAACCCCAAAGAAAGACTTCCCTATCCAGTCTATTGGAGATATTCCAATATACTTCCATACTTTTAGACTGCCTCTAAAATCAGAAATTGCTCAACAAGACCAACTTTTATTCCTAATAGTTGATTTTGAACTGATTACTTGCCCCCCTTCTTTACAGAAAAGCCATGAGTACTGTATGGAACAAGAAGAGGAAGGCGCACAGACCTCTAAGGGATTCTTTGCAGTTGTTGACTAGGGTGTAGTGGTCTCACAGATATCAAGGTTCTGAAGCAGTCAGGACACCTGATGGCATCCAGAATTGTTGTGCTGAATCTACACTTCACACCTCCTCCTATGTATGGTAAACACGTTAAACCAGTTTCTTAGCTACTGCCTGACTAACAGATAAACCTTAACTGATCTCTAGAGGGCTTTTCTTTCTCCCAGCTCTTTTACTTTGGTGTGTCAACTCATCAAAAGTCCTATGATAACTGAATAAGTAACTTGCCTCTGTTATGCAGCAGGAGTAGAGCTCTTATAGCAAGACAGATGTTGTGGTTGGAGCATTTAAATACAGCTAAAAGTTGCAATTTTATGTTACTTTTTTCCATTAATTCTGATGAAATAGGGAATTTTAATCTAAATAGTGACATGCTATGCAAGTTTAAAGGTAGATAATTGATTTCTTTTACTATTAAGAAAGCAATAGCAAAAAACACCTTATTAAGAAAGAAAAAGCCACTGCCAGGAGCTTTCTGGAAGCAGTCCAAGCAAAAACCACCAGCATGAGAAATAATTGTTTGAATGTTACATAATTCCTTTTTTCCCACTATGCAAAACTTATATTTGCTCAAATAAAGATGTTAAGAGATGATAATTTCAGAAAGTAGTATTGTGGGTATACAGGTGGTGGTAAAACTAAGCATACAGAAGCTTCCTGTGTCCTTGTTCCTTGGAAAAACATCAGTAATGAGTTCTCAACTCTTGCATCAGCAGCTTAACTAGTGGTAAATCATATTCTGAACAACAGCATATCTAACCTTTTCTAGTTGAGCTCCAATGTAATGCAAAGCTTTGTTTCAGCATTGAGGGAACCATAAACTGTTTGCTGCAATAACAAACAACTTAAAGTTATTCTCCTCTATGGAGTAATTGCTCTACCAGTGCAGGAGAAAGTCTTAGCAATCATACCCCGGCTTCCCTAACGATGGAGCATGCCCCACAAGTAACCTCACTTTTCAAGGCCGTGATTAATTAAAAATTCACCTAGGAAGAGTGGAATGCTAATGGTCATCTAAGGCTGAAGACTTAAGGTTGAGACTGACTCATGTAGGAATTCAGACTACATAACTAACACCTCTTTTTACAGAAAATAATTTGTTTTAATTGTTTAAATTGAGACTTCCAGGCCATTGTGCATTCAAATTGCTGTATTCCCCCTAGACAGACAAAAACAAAATAAAAAGCAAGTAGTAGTGAAATGCCTTTTTTCCTCCCACCTCTGTCTCTTCAGAGGGGATAAGTTCAGCACACTCTTTTCAGGACATACTGGATTCCTTGATGACTTGTGGCAGAGAACTAACCACTGTCCACTCTGCAGCCCTTTCTGCAAGGGAGTTTGTCATATATCAATATGACATCGCCATCCTACAGCTCCTCAGACTTCACATGGATGTAAGTTTAAGATACTGATATTTTGTGATCAGTGCTTCCAGAAAAAAACAGACCTCCAATCAGCCTGCAGTATGTGATCAATCTATCACTTTTAAGACAAGATCAAGTAGAAAATGATCAGTCTGGAAAATAAGAAATTACTTAATTTCATTATGTTTGCTATAATACTTTGTATGTTTTCAGTAGGTCAGTTTATCCCTACACAATTAGGGCAGGAATAAATATTTCTTTTGAGATCTGGAGCAAGCAGTCATTACTTGTCTCTGGACAGTTTTTAAGTACACTACAGTGCTAATCTAGGTAAAGCCTCTAGGACTTCTCATAACTATATGAAATAATAAAAAAAATAAGAGGGACTAGCAGCCAGAGCACCAGGGCTAGAGTATACTTTCATTTACTTAATTAGGAAACTGGCAAGATGAAGTGATGTGATATACTAAGGATTTTTTTAAAAAAAAAGTCTCAATTTTCATGTGGTATTTGTTGGCTCTATGTATTCACTGCAAATCAAAGCTGACATTTAAATGAATTTATATCCCATTAATTCCTCTTACTTTGCAGATCTCAAGTGTATTCACATTTTTACAGAAGCAATTTTTCTTCCCTCTGTAGGCTCCAGAAATTAACCTGTGTGTTGCCTCCAGCATACCTCTCAGTAATGCTACAGGCAATGCCTTCAGATACTCCTTCTTTTATCAGGGTTAAGTTCATACTCAGCCAGCTTGCTTAGTCTTTTCATGTTCATTTAGCTGTGGAACTAGGAAGTAATGTTTTATATGTTTATAAATCAAGGTATGCTTGATGCTTTCTATAAAAGATATCAATAGAGGAACCAACTCAAGTGCCATGTTCCAGAGGGCTGTAAGCACATTGTTCAGGCCTAAGATATTGACTATGAATGTTTAATACGGGGATCATCCCCATAGCACATATACTGAACTAATTCTCATTCTGCAGTCCTTCCTGTCCAAATTCCACCACTCCCATATCTATCCAACTCTGCAAGTTGCCTTTATGCAAGTCATACAGCAATATATCAACATTTCACTTGCTCAGAAAATAGTAAGTCAAAAGATTTTGTAGCTTTATCTGCTTTTACCATTGCGGAATACTGATTGAAAAAATCTGTGTTATGATTCTGTTACAGAACCTTAATTGTCTAAAAGGATAGAATACAAGAAAGCTTTAGATTTCTCAAAGGAAGTGAAATTTAACTATGTTTGAGTGAGTAAACACATATTCCCTGTGAGGATTGATAATAATGTTATTTTGTCCTGTGAATGTTCCCCCATAGTCTTCAGACCAGATCTAACTTCCCCACAAATTAAAATCAACCATTGCAAGAATCACACTGACTGATCAGAAAACCTCTGTGCCTTTTCCTCATACCAGTATTTCTTTTTTTTTGGACTTAAGTCCTCTCAACTGAAAACCCATGAGATTCTGCTTGTTATGCATAGAGGTTTTTCCCCCCTCCACCCCTCACACTGCAATTTACTAAGCCTGACTTTACTATCTGTGCCAGAAGGAAGAAGACTTTCCAAGTAAAAGAGAATGTTTTTCCTTCCTTGACTTGCTTCTGCTATTGCCTAACATGGCTTTAAGCTCCCTTCATGACACTGTTAGCAGATCAGACAGCTCTTAAAAACACATGAGTAGATTTATTGATATCTGCATTTCCTTTTTAACTTACAAATAGAATCTTACAGATGAATTTTCAATCTTAGATTAACATTAATAAAACATTAAAATGGTTACATAATAAAACCCTACTATTTCAAACACACAAGACAGAATGAGTGCTTTTTATATCATTTATGCAATCTCAGGGCCAGCCTTCATCCTGTACCATAGTTAAGTGTTTTCAACTGCCTGTAACAGGTGGAGCCACAGTTCTACCGCTTGGTATTGATCCAATGGTATCTATCAATACGCGGTCCTGTGAAAGCAACTGTTGGCCTGTGGACTCTGTAACCCCTCTGCTGGGCATAGTATGAGCCTGCCTGAGGAAGCCCGTCAGTCATATATGCCTTCCTATGAAGATACTGAGACCAGGTCTGTATGGGTGGCTTGCAGAAGTCATTGAACTACATGGCAAAAAATAAAGAGACTGTTATAACTTTCTGGAGTAGAAAGGCAGACTGGTCTGACGAGTCATTAGCCTAGTGCATACCTCCAAGCCTCCAGCTCTTGGCAACAGCATTAGCACACGCTTACCTGATAGACGCTGTTAGGGTTGCTGACAGTAGGGATAGTTTTTGGCTCCCTGTTGAAGCCCTCTTCATCTGAAGAGGTGCCAGAATGGCAGTCCAGTGCTGCTCTATCAACAGCATAGCTGATCTGCTGAGGAAGCTCTCGGTTCTCTTCTCCTTCAAAGTGAGCAATTGTGAAGGGCCGGTTCTTCTCACCATATCTGAAAGTAACTGCATTTGTGTAATACAGCTCTGTGATGGAAGTACAGACTTCTGCTACCACAAGCACTAATTACGAAACATACCCCCAGACATTAGGTCTCTAGTAATAGGCTTAAAGGATTAAGTTCCTACTAGTGCACTTGACAGGTACTATCTCTAACTACAGCTTCACAGCTCACCTGCAACATACTTCAAAAGGATCAACCCATAGTGTCATCTCTTTCGGCAAGCCAAGATTATTGAAGTCCACATTGCTCTCCACACAAGCTTGCTCCAGCAGTGGATCTCTCCTTTGATGTTTGTTTATCCTTATACACCTATGTAGGAGTACAAGTGCAGGTGGAAAGTAACATTTCACTGCAGCTACACAAGCTCAGCCCATACATGAGTATATTCAAATTCAGTAATTATCTTCTCTCAGCTAGCCTATTGATTCAAGGTCTCAGTTACAGCCTTAACCAGCTGTCAGCCAAAGAGGAGCTGCTTTATAAATCCAGAGAAAAATTTAACAATGCAGCAGCTCACTTCAGAGGTCATTATTAGAGAGGTAAGTATGAGAATTTCTGGGTTCAGCTCAGGACTGCTCAATTTCTACATTCAAGCAGTCATTCAGCTACTCGGTTATGTTACATCCATTGCTTCCTCCTCTCAGTTTTCCACCTCAGCTTCCTAGCTGCATACAGACACATATGAAAGCACATTTGTAGAGCCACTTTCAAATTAAGTGCATCTTTAACTGTTAAAAGATTTTCTTTCCCATCAAGCTGTACAAGGAGGTCAGTAGCTCTCTAGAGGTTTCACCTCACTACATTTTCCACTGAACTCTTGGTTGTTTCCATTGTCAAGTCTCCAGAAATAAAAAATATCCTCACTACAGCTTAATTTTTTCAAATCAAAGTTGCAGTCCTCCCCACAACCTTCTAGCAGGAGTCTTACCTGAAGGCTTGTCCTCTGGATGGATTGTCCAGGTACCAATGATCCTTATATTTTTCAAAGAGTAAGGTTGTCAGTTTAGCCGCAAACTTCTCCATTTTTCTTTTGCTCAGTTTGTCTTGCCTTTTTACTAGCCTTGTGATGAAGAAGACTGTGGCAGCAATTTCA